ATCCCTGTCCTCTCCTGGGCACCTGGAGCAGGAGCTGCCCGCCCGGACAGGAGCCGGTCCCCTGCAGCCTGCCCAGGGCAGGGGCGGGAGGGAAAGTCGGGCTCACTGCTTTATGGCCAGGTTCACCTGATTGCAGGCGCTGACGCGGCCCCAAAGCCACAAGCGTAGCCACAGGCAAGAGTGGAGGCAGACAGAAGGAAGAGGGCGGCTGAGGGCGCTGCTTGGGGGGGTCCGTGCTTCCAGAGGGAAGGAGAGGCTGAGCTCGGGGTGCACAAGGAGCAGGGACAGGGACAGGCTCGGGGGAGACAGAAATGGAGAAACTGACCCCAAAGGACAATTTCAGCCCTAGAGCAGCCCCTGTCTGAGACCCCAGGGAGTCAGAGACCCCACTCCCTCCAGAGGGAGCACAGGGCAGGGCAGGGCACGGAGTCCTGGAACTGGTTGGGTTGGAAGGGACCTCAAAGCTCCTCCAGCTCCAACCCCTGCCAGGGCAGGGACCCCTTCCACTGGAGCAGCTTGCTCCAAGCCCCAGTGTCCAACCTGGCCTTGAGCACTGCCAGGGATGGGGCAGCCACAGCTTCTCTGGGCACCCTGTGCCAGCGCCTCAGCACCCTCACAGGGAAGAGCTTCTGCCTAAGAGCTCAGCTCAGTCTCCCCTCGGGCAGGTTCAAGCCATTCCCCTTGGCCTGTCCCTACAGGCCCTTGTCCCAAGCCCCTCTCCAGGTTCCCTGCAGCCCCTTTAGGCACTGGAGCTGCTCTCAGGTCTCCCCTTCAGGAGCCTTCTCTTCTCCAGGCTGCCCCAGCCCAGCTCTCTCAGCCTGGCTCCAGAGCAGAGCTGCTCCAGCCCTCGCAGCAGCTCCATGGCCTCCTCTGGGCTCTCTCCACATCCCCTCTCCTACTGCCCGCTCCCCCCAGTGCCATCAGCCCCAGCCCGCTGCAGCCATCCCAGGCGAACGCATCAGTTCCAGAGAGCTCCCGGCTCATGCACGCGGAGCCTGGGCCATGGGGATGGACCAGAGGAGGCCACACTGCAGGAACACGAGTGGAGCCTGTGGAGGGCTGTGCCCTGCCCCAGCTGCTCTGCTCCGGATGAGGCCCAGGGGACGTGTCCCAGAGCACAGCTCCCAGCCCACTCCCAGAGCTGGAGCTGGGGGTGATGCTGGCAGCGAGCACTGCAGGGGCACGGCAGCACAGGCTGCTTGCCTAGGAGGGAAGGGGCCCAGTGACCCACGGAACCTCCCTGGCTCCCGTGCCCCTGCATCCAGCAGGAGCTGCCCAGGGGAACTGGAACACGGGAGCAGCACAATTCCCTCCCTGCTGAGTAACCGGGGTGCGGGTGCTGGGCTGCTCTGCTCGAGGCCTGATGCGATGGCTTGAAGCAGGTTAAACCACATCCACTGACCTGCCCGGTGCATCCACACAGACCCTGCCCGCTGCATCCACACAGACCCTGCCCGCTGCATCCAGACCCTGCCCGCTGCATCCACACAGACCCTGCCCGCTGCATCCACACAGACCCTGCCCGGTGCATCCAGACCCTGCCCGCTGCATCCACACAGACCCTGCCCGCTGCATCCACACAGACCCTGCCCGCTGCATCCAGACCGACCCTGCCCGCTGCATCCACACAGACCCTGCCCAGTGCATCCAGAGACCCTGCCCGCTGCATCCAGACCGACCCTGCCCGCTGCATCCACACAGACCCTGCCCAGTGCATCCAGAGACCCTGCCCGCTGCATCCACACAGACCCTGCCCGCTGCATCCAGACCGACCCTGCCCGCTGCATCCACACAGACCCTGCCCAGTGCATCCAGAGACCCTGCCCGGTGCATCCAGAGACCCTGCCCGCTGCATCCAGACCGACCCTGCCCGCTGCATCCACACAGACCCTGCCCAGTGCATCCAGAGACCCTGCCCGCTGCATCCAGACCCTGCCCACTGCATCCACACAGACCCTGCCCGCTGCATCCAGACCGACCCTGCCCGCTGCATCCACACAGACCCTGCCCGCTGCATCCAGACCCTGCCCGCTGCATCCACACAGACCCTGCCCGCTGCATCCAGACCCTGCCTGCTGCATCCAGACCCTGCCCGCTGCATCCAGACCCTGCCCGGTGCATCCAGACCCTGCCCGCTGCATCCACACAGACCCTGCCCAGTGCATCCAGAGACCCTGCCCGGTGCATCCAGACCCTGCCCGCTGCATCCACACAGACCCTGCCCGCTGCATCCAGACCCTGCCCGCTGCATCCACACAGACCCTGCCCGCTGCATCCACACAGACCCTGCCCGCTGCATCCAGACCCTGCCCGCTGCATCCACACAGACCCTGCCCTCCACCCCCCCCATCCACAGACCCTGCCCGCGCTCACACAGACCCTGCCCGCTGCATCCACACAGACCCTGCCCCCACAGACCCTGCCCGCTGCATCCACACAGACCCTGCCCGCTGCATCCACACAGACCCTGCCCGCTGCATCCAGACCCTGCCCGCTGCATCCACACAGACCCTGCCCGCTGCATCCACACAGACCCTGCCCGCTGCATCCACACAGACCCTGCCCGCTGCATCCACACAGACCCTGCCCGCTGCATCCACACAGACCCTGCCCGCTGCATCCAGACCCTGCCCGCTGCATCCACACAGACCCTGCCCGGTGCATCCAGACCCTGCCCGCTGCATCCAGACCCTGCCCGGTGCATCCAGAGACCCTGCCCGCTGCATCCACACAGACCCTGCCCGCTGCATCCACACAGACCCTGCCCGCTGCATCCACACAGACCCTGCCCACTGCATCCACAGAGCCCAGCACCCCCCACCGGCAGGGGCTGCCCCGCTGTACCCCCCAAGCACAGCACAGAGCCAGGGCCCCCCCATGCTCCCGGGCAGTGGAAGCTGAGGCTGGAGCCGGCAGCACCGGGGCTCCTGGGGCTCTGCTCTGAGCGACACCAGCAGCTGCCCCCCCCCCCCGCTCCGTCCTCAGGCCTCCGGTTACTCCCTCACTGCCCGGCTGTTGCCAGGCGCTGCAGGCAGTGACCTTCGGCCGCACGGCAGCACCCAGGCACCCCCTGCACCCCCGGCACCCATGGGGGCTGCGGCCTCCCCTCCGCAGTGCTGGGACAGGAGGGACGGGAGACGATGAGGGATGGGGAGGTGATGGAGGCACATGGGGAGATGATGGAGGGGCATGGGGAGATGATGAGGGATGGGGAGAGGATGGAGGCACGGGGAGGTGATGGAGGGGCATGGGGAGATGATGGACACATGGGGAGAGGATGGAGGGGCATGAGGAGATGATGGAGGCATGGGGAGATGATGAAGCATGAGGAGATTGATGCAGGCATGGGGAGATGATGGAGGCACAGGGAGATGATGAGAGATGGGGAGAGCATGAGGGATGGGGGGGATGATGAGAGATAGGGAGATGATGAGGGATGCTCAAGAGGCGCAGCAGAGGCAAGGGCAGGGGGCTGCTGGAGGATGCTCAAGAGGCTCCTCTGCCTCCTCCTCCTGAGCCTGGGGCTGGAGCTGCTGCACCCCAGGCCTCCCAACCACCCCTTCACACACAGCCACCTCCCAGGTGTGGGCACAGAAACAACCCCGCTGACCCACAGAGCAGAGTGCTGCCCCCATGGCACCCCTCAGAGCCCACCACGGGACCGTGCTGCAGGGTCACCATCCAGTCCCTTCCGCAGTGCTCCCCCATTCCTGCCCCACACAGGGGCTCGGCCCCAGCCCAGCCCTGCCACCTCCCCAGTCCCAGCTCCCTGTGTCCCCATCACTGTCACCAAGCCATTTGTCCCCCAGGAAGGGAAAGTGTTACCATGAGCAGCAGCCTGAGCCCATTCCCAGCCCAGGGAGACCCCTATGGCCCAGCCCAGCCCGCTCCAGAACCGGAACCGTTTCACACCCTGGCCCCAAGGCCACAGCGTCAGCCCTCAGAGCCCCGCTTCCCTGAGCCGGGCTCCAGCAGCGAGGGCCACGCAGGGGTCACAGAACTGCTTCAGCTTCCATTTGTGGCTCCCAGAGCACTTGGGGAACTCTATAAATAACAGGGAGCCCGCCCCGGCCCCACAGAGCCCCGGGCTCCAGAGGGAGCAGCATCACTGCCGCTTCCACCTGCAGCTCACCCACTAATCCCCAGCCTGGCTCATGCCTGAGAGCTCCCATTGAGCCTTGTGCTGTGCAACACCCAGCACTGCACCGCACTGCACAGCCCTGAACAGCCCAGAAACTGCACAGCCCAGCACTGCACCGCACTGCACAGCCCAGCACTGCACTGCACAGCCCTGAACAGTCCAGCCCAGCACAGCCCAGCACTGCACAGCCCAGAAACTGCACAGCCCAGCCCAGCCCAGAAACTGCACAGCCCAGCACTGCACCGCATTGCACTGCCCAGCACTGCACTGCACAGCCCTGAACAGCCCAGCCCAGCACAGGCCAGCACTGCACAGCCCAGAAACTGCACAGCCCTGCACCGCACTGCACAGCTCAACACTGCACAGCACTGCTCAGCCCAGCCCAGCACTGCACAGCCCAGCACTACACAGCCCAGAAACTGCTCAGCCCAGCACAGCCCTGCACCGCACAGCCCAGCACTGCACAGCCCTGCACAGTGCAGCCCAGCCCAGCACTGCCCAGCCCAGCACTGCACTGCACTGCTCAGCCCAGCCCAGCCCAGCCCAGCCCAGCACTGCACAGCCCAGAAACTGCTCAGCCCAGCACTGCCCAGCCCAGCACTGCACAGCCCAGCACTGCCCAGCCCTGCATGGGAGCAGCTGCCAGGAGCCGGAGCCGAAGGAGCTGGATCCACCACGCGCCGCTTCCTCAGCCTCACCCCACTGAAAGCCAAGGGACACGGGCCCAGCCATGGCTGAAGCGCTCCATGGGCTGGGGGCTGCTTCACCACCCACCCTCCAGCATCCAGAGCACAGCCCCAGCCCCAGCCCCAGATCTGCCCTCGCCCTCCCCGCCCCCAGGCCGAGCAATGGGACTCACGTGAAGGCGAAGAAGAGGGTGGTGGCTCCCACTAGGAAGATGGCAGCAGCCGAGACCGGGACGTACTTGCTGGGTTTGAATCTCTTTCCAGAAGCTGCTGGCATGGTGGAGCTGTGGTGGGGGGTCCGCCCCGCAGCATAGCCCAGGCCCTGCAGTCAGCGCCAGGCGAGAAGGGCAGGGGGATGGGGCAGCCCGGACACCCCCGGCGGTCCCAGGGCAGGAGGCTGGGCAGGAGCCGGCGCTAGGCTCTGCCCCGCGGGGGGTCACGGGCACAGCGCAGGGGGGGGGAAACCATTAAACTGTGGGGCCGGAGCCCTGGGTGTGGGGTTAGAGCAGTCCCTGGGAGCGTTCCTGTCTCCAGCAGCAGCCTGGGAAGAGCAGGTCCTCAGCGCCCTGGGCAGCAGCCAGGCTCCGAGGGGAAGGGGCTCCCCCAGTGCTCAGGGCCCAGGAGCAGCTCCCAGCAGCGGCGCTGGGCAGGAGCGAGCCCCAAGGAAGCCACTTCCCCTTTCTAATCCGCGCTGAGCCGCGGGGGGGCCCCGGCTGCCCCTGCAGCGCTCCGGGGGCTCTCCCTGGTCCCCCCGCCGGGCAGGGTTAATGTCCCCTCTGTGGGCCTTGGCCGCGGAGCCGGGAGCAGCTGGCGCGAGGCTGAGCTCTAAATCCTGCCCTGGCGAGGGGGGCTGCGCCGCGGAGCCCGCGCTCTGCCCTCCTCCTCCTCGCTCCTGCCTCCGGAGCCCCCAGGCCTCTCGGTGGGCTCAGCGGCCGCTCGGTGCTCGGGGAGCCTCATGAAATCCTTCCTGCAGGCGCCATGTCCAAGCAGCACGGGGCAGGTGAGCGGGGTCTGCAGGGAGCTTTCACGGCCCCAGAAGACAGCCGATGGGGAGAACGGTGCTGCACGGCTCTGCCTCTCCCATGGCCTGCGCAGGGCTCAGTCTGTTCCAAAGCGCTCCATGTTTTCCTCCCCTTCCTTCGCTAAAATTCTTCATTAATCCATTCGTCTTCTAAAAACCCAACATAAAATCACTCAGCCCCGGCATCCGGCAGCACGGCTCACCTGGAACAGAGACAGAGCCCGGTTAGCCAGAGACAGAGCCCGGTTAGCCAGGGCAGGGACAGAGCCCGGTTAGGCAGGGCAGGGACAGAGCCCGGTTAGCCAGGGACAGAGCCCGGTTAGCCAGGGCAGGGACAGAGCCCGGTTAGCCAGGGACAGAGCCCGGTTAGCCAGGGCACGGACAGAGCCCGGTTAGCCAGAGCAGGGACAGAGCCCGGTTAGCCAGGGACAGAGCCCGGTTAGCCAGAGCGGGGACAGAGCCCGGTTAGCCAGGGCAGGGACAGAGCCCGGTTAGCCAGGGACAGAGCCCGGTTAGCCAGAGCAGGGACAGAGCCCGGTTAGCCAGGGCAGGGACAGAGCCCGGTTAGCCAGGGACAGAGCCCGGTTAGCCAGAGCAGGGACAGAGCCCGGTTAGCCAGAGCAGGGACAGAGCCCGGTTAGCCAGGGACAGAGCCCGGTTAGCCAGAGCAGGGACAGAGCCCGGTTAGCCAGGGCAGGGACAGAGCCCGGTTAGCCAGGGACAGAGCCCGGTTAGCCAGAGCAGGGACAGAGCCCGGTTAGCCAGAGCAGGGACAGAGCCCGGTTAGCCAGAGCAGGGACAGAGCCCGGTTAGCCAGGGACAGAGCCCGGTTAGCCAGGGCAGGGACAGAGCCCGGTTAGCCAGGGACAGAGCCCGGTTAGCCAGGGCAGGGACAGAGCCCGGTTAGCCAGGGACAGAGCCCGGTTAGCCAGAGCAGGGACAGAGCCCGGTTAGCCAGAGCAGGGACAGAGCCCGGTTAGCCAGGGACAGAGCCCGGTTAGCCAGAGCAGGGACAGAGCCCGGTTAGCCAGGGCAGGGACAGAGCCCGGTTAGCCAGGGACAGAGCCCGGTTAGCCAGAGCAGGGACAGAGCCCGGTTAGCCAGAGCAGGGACAGAGCCCGGTTAGCCAGAGCAGGGACAGAGCCCGGTTAGCCAGGGACAGAGCCCGGTTAGCCAGGGCAGGGACAGAGCCCGGTTAGCCAGAGCGGGGACAGAGCCCGGTTAGCCAGGGCAGGGACAGAGCCCGGTTAGCCAGGGCAGGGACAGAGCCCGGTTAGCCAGAGCAGGGACAGAGCAGGGGCTGCCCTGGGCACACAGCAGGCGCATGGCACAAGGGGCAGGCTCGAAGCCCCTGGTCCAGCGCCCGCCAGCCCCAGGCCTGGCCCCAGCCCCGCGGCCCCATCCTGCATGGGCAGAGCCACAGCAGTGGCCGCGGCGGCTGTCATCAGCCTCAAGCCTGGCCCAGCCCCGAGGCTCCAGCGCCCAGCCCAGCCCAGGACACCGCAGCCTCTTGCCCAACACCTTCCTGCAGCCCCAGCGGAGCCCAACGCCGGAGAACGCCCAGCCCCTGGGGCGAAGGGGTTCAGGGGTGCAGGGACAGCCGGGAGCTCATCCCCTTCCCGGGGGGCAGGGGCCCATGGAAACACCCCGGGTCCCGGGGCCAGAGGAAGCCCCGGTGGGGCCGGAGGAAGCAGCGCTGGGCTCTCACTGCGCAGCCCCTGCTGCCGGAGGGTGCCGGTGGGAAGGCGCCGCCCTCGCTGCTCAAGAGGATGCAGGAGGGAGCAGCACAGAATCCCAGCAAACCAAACCCTCTGGAGACGGGAGCGGGAGGCACCGGACACCGGGAGCCGGGCTCAGCCCAGGAGCAGGGCAGACACGGGGCCCACTGCACAGGAGGGGAGGTGGGAGCCCTTCTGCCGCTGCTGCCTCCCCTCGCACTGAGCACCCCTGTGCCTCCTCCTTCCAGCCCTCTCCTCCTCTGCCTCTCAGCGGCACAGGAGAACACCTCCTGCTCACCAGACACCTGTGAGGGCCAAGGGACACAGCTCCAGGTTAAAGGCACATCTGAGGACAAGGACACCCTACCCGGGTCGGTTCGGCCTCAGAGCAGGGCTCTGACACAGGCTGAGGAACGAACCCGCTCCCACCGCAGCTCTGTCCCCAGGGAGGGCTCAGCCCAGCCCTCGGCTCACCCCGCGCTTCCCTGCCCTGTGCCGGGAGGGATCCGGCCGGGCCGATGCTCCAGGGCTGGGGATGCTCCAGCACCCCCCGTGTGACACCAGAGAGCCGGCGCTGGCCCCCGCAGGAGCCGCAGCTCTGCCCCACACACCAGAGCCGGCGCTGGCCCCGGCAGGAGCCGCAGCTCTGCCCCACACACCAGAGCCGGCGCTGGCCCCGGCAGGAGCCGCAGCTCTGCCCCACACACCAGAGCCGGTGCTGGCCCCGGCAGGAGCCGCAGCTCTGCCCCACACACCAGAGCCGGTGCTGGCCCCGGCAGGAGCCGCAGCTCTGCCCCACACACCAGAGAGTGCTGGCCCCGGCAGGAGCCGCAGCTCTGCCCCACACACCAGAGCCGGTGCTGGCCCCGGCAGGAGCCGCAGCTCTGCCCCACACACCAGAGAGCCGGTGCTGGCCCCGGCAGGAGCCGCAGCTCTGCCCCACACACCAGAGAGCCGGTGCTGGCCCCGGCAGGAGCCGCAGCTCTGCCCCACACACCAGAGCCGGTGCTGGCCCCGGCAGGAGCCGCAGCTCTGCCCCACACACCAGAGCCGGTGCTGGCCCCGGCAGGAGCCGCAGCTCTGCCCCACACACCAGAGAGCCGGTGCTGGCCCCGGCAGGAGCCGCAGCTCTGCCCCACACACCAGAGCCGGTGCTGGCCCCGGCAGGAGCCGCAGCTCTGCCCCACACACCAGAGAGCCGGTGCTGGCCCCGGCAGGAGCCGCAGCTCTGCCCCACACACCAGAGAGCCGGTGCTGGCCCCGGCAGGAGCCGCAGCTCTGCCCCACACAGAGCCCTGGGCTGGGGTCAGAGCCCAGCACAAGCACGCAGGAGCTGGGGACAAAGCTGTGCTGCTGCCCGCAGGGAAGCGCTGGAAGCCAGAGCCAGCGCCGTGATTCCAGGGGCCGGTCACTCGGAAGCGTGGGGATGAGGTCACTGCTGATGGCTTTAGCAGGAGCAAAGGGCTGCTCCGCTGCAAGAGCACCCTGCCCTCCAACAGCCTTCACCACGCAGGAGCCACACCCCGAACTCAAACAGGTACGGCCAAGCTGGAGGAGCTTCCCTGGGACATCCCTCCTCCAGAGAACACCGGATCCCAGCCTGGTTTGTGCTGGAGAGGCCTTGAAGCTCCCCCAGCTCCAACCCCTTCCCCTGGAGCAGCTTGCTCCAAGCCCCTGTGTCCAACCTGCCCTTGAGCACTGCAGGGAGGGGGCAGCAAGCCCAGACCCCTGCCATGGGCTCTGCATTTGTCCCTTCTTGGACACGGTTCTCCTCACGACGACCGCCCTGTGCCTGCCCCAGGGTGCAGGAGTCCCCCGGATCTGTCCCCTCCTGCAGCCCCAGCCCCGCTGCAGCCACCGGCCCCTCCGTCCCCCTGCCGGCCTCAAACCCCCCCTCTCTCTGTCACCGTCCCCATCCACGAGGGCAGCCACAGGCTCCCTGCTGGAGGCACCCTCAGCTCACCCCACATCCCCAGGGCACACGCGGCTCCACTCCTGCCTCCGACTCCTCCGGCTTTGCTGCTCCCAGCCCCACGACCCCTGCTCCTCCCTGCCCAGGCAAGCCCTGTGCCACCGGGGACTCCCCTTTCCTCTCCCTCGAGAATTCCACCAAAATCCCAGCACCCCTTTTCCAAAGCATTTTCCCGGCTCCACTCAGCCACCCCAGAGCGCGGCCCCATCCCGAGGGTCTCCCTGCACTCACACCAAGGGCTGCTCCCATCTCCCCTCCTCTCCCCTTCTGGAGAGGCAATGACGGGTTCCTCCGCTGGGGATGGCTGCAGGTAGGAGCGCTGCCGCCTCCCACCGCTTCCCGCCCGTCTCCCTGCTCTGGTCCAGGCCCTGTGAGCTCCCGCTCCAGCTCCCTCCCTCCCCACCCACCCCAGCGCTGCCAGGCTCGGCCCCAGGCACCAGCACCCAGAGCCCGGCCGGGCTGGGCGAACGCGTGGAACCAGCTCCCAGCGGGGCCGCCCTCGCCCCGCCCGCTGCAGGGGCCTCCTCCCCACGCTCCTGGCCCCAGAGCGGCTTCACAGCCGGTCCATCACCGGTCCCATCGCCGGTCCCATCGCCGGTCCCATCGCCAGCCTCCAGGAGCACGGGGGGATCCAGGATCACACAGGGGCAGGATGTGCTCTACCTGTTCCCGCTCTGGTTTCACTGGGGCAGATCCAGGATCACACAGGGGCAGGATGTGCTCTACCTGTTCCCGCTCTGGTTTCACTGGGGCAGATCCAGGATCACACAGGGGCAGGATGTGCTCTACCTGTTCCCGCT